TATATATATATATATATATATATATTCGAACGTTGCAGAGTTGTTATATACACACATTATATACATACGTAATCAAACAGCTAAATTATGGCTGTTACTGATAAAATCAATAGATTGAGAAAATGCAAAACGATAATATTTTTCACATGTTTTGTACTCAGTGTTGATCAAGATGAGCATACAATCTTCGAGCCTTTTCACGTTTATTTTTATTAACATGTTTATTTATAACTTTCCATGGTTTTTTTATTCTATTTGAATGACCGTCGATCGATTCTGTTAAACTAACCGTTGATTCCGCGTGCCTGGAAATTAATTGTACCAGTCAAATGAATTTTGTATATGAAGTAAATACGAAACATTCTGATAATAATCTAAATACTTATAATGTACATATATTTTAATCATGTATGACGAAGTGTCACTCGATTAGAATTCGAACACATTTTAATAGATTATATGATTATATTGTCACATTATTATATAAGAGTGACTACTTAAATAAAGCAAACATTTTGACATTACATTGTAGAGTTTTGCAGCACAGGTTCACGAATCTTCTTAATGTGTGTATCCTGGAAAAATTTCTGATCTACAGCATTGACCGTTACTCGACATCCTTCATTTATGCGAATCGTTCGGGGTGGTATGTGTCTATTCGTGGATATATTACGACGTCGCGGCGGAAACGTGTGAAAGCGCTCTTGATCAAACGTTGGCGGTGCAACGCAGTATAGCAATTTACCATTAACGAAATCTTTCAAAACGTATCTAGCTGAACGTGGATTATCTGGTTGACCATTCTGCGTCATAAAACCTCTATTATCTGCAAATACGATATCAATTTGTAGAAATATACATTATAATTATTACAAATAAATGTATGAATATAAATCATAATTTATACATATTTATAATATTACAACATGTAATATTATAAATATAAAATTGGAGCAGTTTTAATTTTAATACTTTTTAATATATTTCAATTTAAACTGATTACATACAACCGTGCGCATTTAAAAGCTCTTCTGCAGTTGGGGCACGATTTGAGTCTTCTCCCTCGGATGGTATAGGTAACATAAAACCATAAAGATCCTCTAGAATATACCTAGGTATCAATGTAGCCAGCAATGTAATTGCTGGTACATGATCTCGCATCTGATCAATCGGCAGTATGCCATTTAAGATCATCTCCGCTTTTGTACAAAGGAAGCTTGGCATCACTAAACCTGGGCAATCACATAATAATAAATCCTTGTCTAAATATAAAGTTTGAAAATGCTTAGTTTTGCCCGGCGTGGCAGACACCGAAACCTTTTTATCCATGAGCAAAGCATTAATAGTAGAACTTTTTCCAACGTTCGGATATCCTACCAAACCAATCGTTGTCACTCCATCTGTGTAGGTTTTATTATCAGTAAAAATTGTTTTAAATAATTCTACAAGATCATTCCTATTTAATAATTTCGATGAATTAACTATTTTCTTGTTTTCTCTTGTTTTGTCCTCCTCTGCCGTAGAGATGTTTAAGTTCTCCATTACACATTGAACTTCTGTTTGTTTGTCATTATCAATTTCTATATTAGATACAGTAGATGTATCATTGTCAACAATACTACTTTCTGCGCTTTCATACTCTGATTCCGAAGCAAATTCAGAATTCCATTCGTCAGTACTACTTTCATCCTTTTTATTCAAACAATCGTCATTTTTATCTATCGATTTTGTCTCATCTTCGTCTTCTTCTTCTTCTTCTTTTATTGACTGTTTTTCTGCAGCTAACGTGGCAGAAAAAAAGGCTACTCGTATATTTAAGTCTGTAAAATATTTTGCCCATGCCTCTCTTTGCTCGTCCGTTAAAAAGTCTGCTTTATTAAGAAGAATCATATTTAATTTGTCAGAATTTATTTCTTTAACATAACGTTCCAAATCTTCACAGCGAAAGAGCAATGGATTGCGTGCATCTACAATTTGTACAATCACATCACTCCGTTCTACTACTCTCCACAATTGTCGCCAAAATTCTAAATTCCTTTCATAAGGTGTCAATATCAATCCTTCTACTTCTTGCAACTTGGCCAAATTGCGTCTCCATTCTAAGAATGCCTCTTTCTCAAGAGTGTGCAATTCCTGAGCACTTAGGGTATTCCACTTGGGTCTTCTAGGTATCTTAACAAAGCTCTTGTTTCTTTCTTGTATTTCCAATATTTTCTCCTTTTCATTTTTCGAAAGCAAGCCACTACTACTGGGATTCACAAATTTAATATTTAATTTCTCTGCAGTAAACTCAGTTCCTGCAAGTTCTGCGGTCGAAAGAAACTCTTGAAATGAATTCTCCTCTGTAACTGATTGCAAATTGAGTCGACCCCAATCATAACCGTCATTGATCTCTGTAGTGTGAAGCTATATAAAAGGCAAGAAAAAATATTCTAAATAATAGTTTACCAATAATTTATTAACAAATATATCATCGATAGATAAAATACTTAGTAGATAAATTTAAAAAAAAGCAACTGATAGAATTTTTGATAAACGTCATGAATGAATTTGTTATTTATGATTAAAAATATAAACATGACAGAATACTTTTTCAAATTGCATTATTTATAGAAACATCTGTGGAATTAATCCCAACTCGTCTACACTTGTCAAAAGGACATTTAAAAGAAAAGGTTATAACAATTTGTTTTACCATAGACTCATTGTTTCTCTTAATTTTTGTAGATCCAAATCGATCCCTGATTAAAGATTTTCCTAAATTACCACCTCCTCCTTTGCCTTTCTTGCCCATCTTTCTTTTTGTTAGATAATATTTATCCGTTGTAAAAACAGCATGTGATTCTGCAAGGTCTGCAACTTGAAGGTTAAGTTTTGCAAGCTATATAACCTCGTCTCACACGAAGGATTGTAGTTCTATGAAGGATATTCTACCACTACATAAACAAGAATTAAGCTTTTCTCAACGATCAAGTTATTATTAAAAGAATGCAATTTATTGATAATTAATAAATAACGCAAATTATGTACGTTTCTTGAAATAAATCGATACATCAATGTTACAATTCAAAATGTCCCTATATAATAAGGAACATAATTCAGAGATCGAAATAGATCAAATTCGTGTTCCGATAAAATTGAGCTATAGAGAAAATGTACTTTAATATTTTTAAGTGCAACTATAAAAACACGAATTTACAATATGAAACATTAAACTCATTGAATTATTATCATTATCGGTTTCGATCTCTAATATATAATCTTGTTTCCATTCAAAATTTCATCATGATTCGATATTCGCTGTATTACATTTGCATATTATACAAGATCAAAAGAAAATCGATATAAATTCAATCAGGATAATTGTGACATTAGAATAGTGTTTTCAATAATAATCTAATAAATGTTACATAAAATAAAGTAGTTGTAAAAAATTATAGCTATATATATTCAACAGATATGTATAAAGATATGTACTAAGAGAAATATTACAAGCTTTCAAATTAATAGTGTGAAATAAGTCACAATTTATAATCTTTAAATGGACAATTTTATAATTAAAGTTATAAGAAACTTACAATTTCTTTACAACTCTCTGTTGCATCAAGTTCAATAATAATATATACTATTTGAAAACTTATATCGTTTTTAAATCTTTAAAAAATTCTTTTTTCTTTATGTCACGGTTATCCCAGTTGAGCTCGCTCGCTTATCATATAACACATGCGAAAATAGGACAGAAACAAAAGATGCTTTATGTTATTCCATTTTATTAATATAATAGTTGATAGACTGTTCCGGCAATCTCACGTCCCTCGGACGATAAACAAACACAAAGTCAGTCATACATTCGTGTTCATTCTCCGCCAAGATTATGCATCACCCAACACGATTAATGCTTGCCGACACATATGGAATAAGAATTTCCTCGCAAGGCAGCTTGTGAACAGTTCCTATCGGATTAGTATTCATGTCGCCAATCCCTAATACATTATATTACAATTTCGTGTTTCTTCATCTTGAAAAAAAAACTGTTCATATTGTAGTATACTGCATCACATAAATCAACTCGATTCAGAGTAAATCCAAATCAGCGATTCGTTCTCGTTTCTCTCTCTCTCTCTCTCTTTCTCTCTTCTTTCTTCTTTAAAGAAAGTTTAATTAATCATCTTCTGTACATAAGCGACTCGCGCAAATCTTGCACACAG